GACTAAATGCGAGGCCTTAGTGTTACGTATCGCTGAATTATTTCAGATATTGTGTATCTAAAATTCATCGTGAAGTAGGTCGTTGAATTCGTTTCGATGTCGCCTACAGTACTATGAAGTCAAATATATCCAGTTCCATTTAAAAATATAACAGTGACCTTAATTTTTTATCGAAAATCAATTTGTTTTTAAATTTAAGAAACTGTAATTTCTTGTTAGTTAAATACTGATTAACTTCGATAGGAAACATTTTTTTGTCAGACCATCGAAAGGGACTGAAAACCCGTGCGGACTAATTGGTGCCTCACCTTGTAAACTTTATGATTACACGAACGTCTTATCATTTGTTGACTTTTAAGTGTTTGTCGCTAAAAAAATTTCCCCTATATTTATCTTGCCATATTGTCCGCTGGTTTATTACATTTAGTGCGCGGACACCACGTTCGTTACCATCGAGGCAATCCTGATCGTTTATATTATCAAGGCCGACCGGTGCGTCCACGGTAAAAAGATGGATCGTTGCTCGAAACTATTTAAGACGCGCATTAGTCATGATCGATGTCTCATTAAAAGCGTCGAGTTATGCTTCGCGTCCACGCGCGAACGTGACGAAATCGAAGGAACGAATGACGCGATAAAAAGAAAAGTAAAACAGTCGATGGAACGTTTGATTGCGCGCATTCGCAAACGAGTTTAATAATCGAGAAAGTGTGCGCGTACCGATAGCGCTGGCAGAACGAACGAATTTGTGTGTTACGTGGTACGATTCAGCAAACGGTTCCGAGTTAAGTGAATAACTCATATTAATAATAATACGAGCTGTATAAACGCCAGATTTCTCTGATGTAACCGTCCCGTCATACTACTGGCCGCTCGACGTAGCTAAGGTTGAATCGCGTTGGAATGTAGAGAGTTTAAGACACGCTCAGACAGGATTTGCGATAGGCAACACCCGCGCCTTTTCCCTCTTCGCAGCTTCGCAATAATCCCTTCTGCCAAAGAGTTGCCAGCTGCAGTCGTCCGTACCTTGTCTGCAGTCGCCGCGCACACTTGGGAACGCCACGGCGTGTCGGGAATGCGGAAAGGACGAGTTTCTTCTACTTTTGTTGCACGTATCTACCTGGTAACCTGAGACGCGGTGATGCGGTGGCTCTTCGAAAACCGCGTCCACTTCTAGAATCTTTGAGACCAGATTGTATTTGTTCTTATCAGATCCAAACGCTTCCTTGGTCAGGCGACTCTGGTCATGTTGCTCGTTGTTATACATATAATAAACGAGTAAAACTCGTGCCGCGGTATGAAACCTGTGAGGATTTCTTATAATTAACGCACCACCGTTAGAACGGTGCAAAAATTTCGATATACAGTGGTGGACATAATTATTGGCACAGCACGCGATTTGGTATAAAAACGTTAAAAACTATTGAAAAAATTGTTTGTATCGCTTCTTTTTTGCATGTACCTTTATTTACAATATCTCATTTACCTATACACAAAGGCAGGACAAAATTAATAAAATCGAGAATAAATACTTAATTAATGAAAATCTGTTCTGTTATCGTCTGATACTTATAATTTAATATTTATTTTTTTTTAATAAATATTAAATAATTTAATCTAATTTAATCTAATAATAATTTAATATTATTTTTGATTATAATTTAATATTTTGTAACATGTCTTCTTCGTTTCACTATTTCTTTTAATCTATTTGGCATAGAATGAATCAACTTCTTTGTTAAATCACTGTAGATTTTAGACCATTCTGCTGAAATTATTTGTTTTAATTCCGATTTATTCGAAATATGGTGTTTACGAATATTTTTTTTCAATTGATACCAAATATTCTCAATTGGATTAAGATCCGGACTTTGGAGAGGTGTTCTTAAAGTGTGTGCTGTGTTGTAAACAATCTATTGACGAGCTGTATATGCCATATGTGCGGGCGCATTATCTTGCGGAAAATAAAAGTTTGCTGGTAACTTTAAGTTTTCTGTACTTTTCTTTAAATTCTCTTTTAAGATATTTAAATAAGTTTTGACATCTACTGAGTCTTCAATGAACACTAGTTTCCCAAGTCCGGATGAGGACATGCACCCCCATATACAGACTCCACCACCTCCATGTTTGACAGTAGCTTGGAGGTTCTTCACGTCCAATTTGGTGTTGCGTTTCCTCGTGCGTATAGTGGGTAACATATCGTAACATTTTTGTGAAATCCATATAATGTGGAAAATATTTACATATAGTGGCTAACGAAAGTATTCGAACGCTTACACCTACAACTTTTAGCACATCAAACATGTATATTAAACTAAAATGTTTAATATAATATGGTATCTATAGCAAGGAGAAGGTTTCAGCATTGTGTTAGGAAAATTAGAGAACAATTCAACGATACGTACAATATTTACAACATATTTCTTACAAACACGCACCAATGGATAACAAAAGTATTCGAACCTTGCATATATCGTTACATTAAATGTACATTAGTATTTTGTTGCATCACCTTTAGCGATGATAACTTCTCTGAGTCGACGTTCCCTACTATACACTAGTTTTTTTTTACGATACTACGAATGTATTTCCATATTTCGATTATTTTTTCTTTTAACATCTGTGTTGATGTAATCTGATATTTATTAAGTTTTCCCCAATTTTTGCCCACAAATATTCAATGAAATCGATATTCGAGCTTTGTGGTGTAGTGCTGAATGTATGGTGTATTGTAAAGCAACCATTTTTTCGCGATCCAAGTTGTACGCTTAGGATCGTTATCTTGCTAGAAATGGAAATCTTCCAATAATCCTAATTTCCGGGCGCTATCTCTGAAATTACTTTTTCGAATGTTCATATATCTATATTTATCGAGTATGTCATCAATAAATACCAAATTTTCTGTGCCATTAGCTGTCATACAGCCCCACACCATAACACTGCCACCTCCATATTTCACTGTTTGATTTAAGTGCTTTGTTTGTAAGTCTCTATTTAGCTTTTTCTATATGTATACAGGATGTTCGGCCACCTCTGGAAAAAATTTTAATGGCAGATTCTAAAGGCCAAAATAGAACGAAAATCAGGAATATCAATTTGGTTTCCGATGCTTCGTTAAAAAGTTATTAACGTTTACAGTTCCGCCTGTAGAACGATAATCTGCGAATAGCTGCGTGCGCACGATAGTGGTTCTCACTCATAAAATTGTAAGACTGTCGATACGTCAGTAACTAGGGTTTCTCATGCTGAATGAGAACCACTGTCGCGCACACGCAGCTGTTTGCAGATTGTTGTTCTACAATTAACGAAGCCTCAATTAACAAATTAGAATTCATGACTTTCGTCTTATTTTAGACTCTAGAATCTCTCATTAAAATTTTTCCCAGAGGTGGTCGAATACCCTGTATAATTTTGACCGTCCAAGCTGAAAACATTGAACTTAGATTCGTTTGAGAACATTATTTCCCCCCAAAAAGCATTAGCCTTGTTAACATAAGTTTTTGCAAAATGTAATCTCTTCTTTTGGTTTGCCTTACTAATGTAAAGTTTCCTTCTTGGTACTCTAACGTGAAAATTATTGTCCCACAATATCCGCCGACAGAATTGAAAATGAACTTTCTTATCGAATACTTCAGCAACCATATTTGACAATTCGGGAACGGAAGTAGCAGGATTTTTTTTTTATTTCACGAATTATAGCTGTTCTTTCTTGTTTCGTCAATTTTTTGGGACGATCAGAACGAGACTAGTTTGCAATGGTTCCTTGGGTTTCTGATTTTTGTATTATGTAATGTATTGTAGACTTATTTCTATTTAGAATTTTCGCGATTTGATTATAAGATTTTCCATCCTTATCTGATTTAAATATTATTTCAAGTTCATACTTTTGCATTTTTGACTTCTTAGTATTTCCATTCATTATTACACTGTACAGTTCAATGTTACTCTTACTCAAGCGACGATTTATGTCTGAATGTCTGTTGTTTAAAGGTGCTTTACTATAGATATACCATATTGTTTGAAACACTATAGTTTAACATATATATTTAATGTGCGAAAGGTCGTAGATCTAAATATTCGAATACTTTCGTTAGTTACTATATGTTATTTCGATGCTGTCACTTTCTTTTACAATCTCTTTTTTGTTCATTGATTTAAATCAATTTAAATGTAAACGTGACGATAATTAGAACAGTGTGAGTGATAATTAGGTTCGCCTCCCTCGATTCGTTACTTTCTCGTGAAAAGATCGTGTTTTACTCTTTCTTTGAAAGCTAGAAGTTATTTAAGTGCTGTAAATGCAGAATCGATAAATAAAGCAGCTGGACGTCAATGGAAAGCTTGTCGTCTTTTGAGCCATAATGAAATAAGGTTAATTCTAATAGGTGGTACAGCTGGATAAGATCGTAAATCATTTCAAGGCTACCTCCCGCGTGTCTTGCAATAACTATCGTCAATAATGATCAGCATGAATGAAACGGTAGAGGCACGACGGGTGAGAAAAGACGAATTTCCAGACGGAATTTCAAGATCGACAAACCGTCGTTTAAGATTGTTCGGGTCGGCCGACTCGAGTCGGAGCATGGTCATTCCAGAGCACTGTAAGTTACGAACGCATTCCAATCGTAAACCGCGAAGAAACATAAAATGTTCTCGTAGAAAAAGTCATTCGCCTCGTCCACGTTGTACGAGAACAACAAAGATTACAGCACGGCGCGAAATTTACGCGGAAAGACAGTAACACGTACTGTGCGCGGCTGTCAAGATGTTCCATAAAAGGAATTCAGGTTTGATTGGTTACTTTGCCCAGGTTGAGTATACTAATCATAAAAATAGGAATACCTATTGGCTGAAAATCTCACATTTACAAACAAGATCAAACAGAATCGCGTGTCGAACTCCTTTTATCCCCCTGCAGTCCCGTGAAACTTCTTATCAGCCGTGCATAATATTTATGTATTTGTACAAATAATTTCGCTCGTCATTTCAGTATTACAAAATTATTGCGGAGAGTGTGATACACGAGGTGTATTTGTGCAATTCTCTTCGGGTGAGATGTTCTCGTGACCAAGAGCAAGAGCCTGTAATACAATAAAGAACGGTATCTAATTTTTTCTCATATCACCCAAAGTCTCGTAAAACTTGTTAGCAAAAGAAACATAGATCCTTTACTTCTCCAAACGTAATGGCGTTTCTTAAAACGGGTATAGCTGCTTTAAGGAGCTTACACTCGTAATCGTTCAAAGGTGGAATACCCAAATGCTTCTGAATTCCATCCGGGCCTAATTCCAAAGGAGCAGCAAAGTACGTTACCTCTGGTATCGCACATGATCGAACATAGGCGCATTCCACGATACCACTTTGGTGGCGTAAAGCTAAGAGATCGGGCAATAACGAAACGTAACATTTTATATCCAATTATGAAACAAATCCCGCGTAAAGTGAAGTGTACGAGCACGAATATACTTTGCATACCTTTGCAAAGAGACATGCAAAATCTGGCTGCTCCAAAACCCATAGCAAATGATGTACTTTCTTTACCTGTACTCATCTTCGATATCTCTTCGTCGGTCGTTCTTACCGCGTTTGTCAATCTACTAGCTTCATCCTGATCAATGAATAAATACATCAGTTTTAGTATCAATAAGAATATTAAGATACGTTAACGAGGGATAGTCGACCTGGTGTAAATGTTATCGAAACACTTGTAATTTAAACCAAGACAAAATTTATTTTTTCAAACCATGTCAAGTATTTGATTATTCAAATAGCTTGAATATTTGGTAAAATTTCACAAAATTCAATCTGTTCAAATGTTTAAACAGCTTGGTTGCGTTCAAGTTACATCATTATCACCAATAATAACAATTATTACTTAGTGAGCAAACGTATTGAGTTTTTTTTACTCTTTCTTTCCTTTATGTAGCAACAACTGTATTTTGATACCCTTTTATTCTAAACTCGACAAAATTTTAATTGAAATAAATTGTTGTTCTTTCAGAAAATTTTCTTACTTAAATGTAATATTATAATTAAGTAAAAATAGATAATCAAGTTTACTTGGATAATTTGAACATTCAACTGTTTTGTTTTAAACGATTCAAACTAAGCTTAGCACCGATTGTATGTCCAAACTACTTGGACACATCTACCTGGGATATCTTGTTGCAAGGCTTTGCCTGAGAAAATATAGGAATACATGTCTTCGAGCAACTTCCACCAATCACAGGCACTGTCATGCATTCTGGTTCGATGCCTATAACTTCCGCGGCGAAAGTATTCGCTCTGAGACAGTCCAGACTGATTACGCCAAAAAGGCGGTTGTGTTCGTAAACTCCAGCTGTTTTGTACATTTCCATTGCCAGCGGTATCAAGCTGTTTATCGAATTCATTGCTATCGCGACCATAGCCTGAAAAGAACAAGATTAAAACGGCAAATAAGCACTTGACACGACGCACAGTGGTGCCATTTCCCGAAAATGCGGTAAAAAACATTTTCTGACTGATCACATACACTATCTTACGATGTATTGAAGATATCAAAAAAATGTTTTTACAAAAGTTGTTTTATTTAAAGGGGTGCATTATTTGGTATAAATAATTTTTGTGTAGGTGGAGTGGTGGGGGAGATTTCAAGGTAATTTTTTTTAAATTAAACTATATATCTTTTTGTTCATAATATGATGGTGGGGGAGATTTCAAGGTAATTTTTTTTAAATGGAACTATATATCATTTTGTTCATAATATGATAGCATTTGTTGTTATAAATTCAACAACCTACTACATGATATCATTACGAGTCAGATCAACGGAAATCACTAGTCATTTTTGCAGTAGCAGCTAGTAGCAGCTAATTTTTGTTTAGAAATGAAGGCAAGACATCAGTATTCAAAATGAGACCAAAACGAAACTTTCAGCTCGCTTCAGTCCTGATTAAACAATGGAATGAAAATTCAAAACGTTCAATTAGGCATAAGTCAAAAACTATCATACATATAAAAGTGTAATTTGCTACAATTCAAGTACATACTAGGTAAAATTGATTTCATCGCTCATCATTTAATTTCAAAAAACAACACAGTTATAGAAACTACATCGACTGGTGCAGTTAAAAATGTAGGTTTCCATGTAAAAAAAAAAGGTGTAGTTGCATCAATGTACAAAAGTGCATAAAATTAGTTGCATATTACGCATCGTCTGATACCATTTAACTTTGACTTAGAACATATTTTTCTATTCCCAACCGTTCAGGAGGTATAGCCTGTTCCAGTTGCGTGGGACACCCTGTATACGTTATAATTGTTAAGGTTCTGTTCGCTTACCTGGGGGCAAAATTTAATGACGTTTGGTAACAAGTCCGACAATGTATCAGCATTGTCTTTCAATATTTCATCTGGATTTAATTCTTTCCCGATTTTTCGATCTGCAACGATCATTACTATTTTCGCCCCTTCGAGCGTCTGTTTCAAACATGTTTCGGATGGATTGCAAGTGCTAACCTTGCATCCCGTGTCGATGTAATTTAAATCCAATGCGAGGCCATAGGTACATTTGTTATCGTAAATTGCCAATTCGTCGATCAAAGGCGATTGTTTTAGAAATAACGAAAGACAATTTCCTACGGTACAGTAATGTAATAAATATAAGATGAATGATTAACCTGATATAACCTAAATTATTTACCCGTTTTACTCGCAGCGCCAAGAACGGCTACTTTCATAGATTTCGTAGAAAAAGATTTAAACTGAGTAAAAAAACATGTTCTTAAAGTGGACTGCTTCGTTCTTACAAACAAAACAGTATTTTGTTCGATCGATGAACGAAAAAACCCTCCGCGGAGGTGTAAAACCAAGTTTCGAGATGTTCGAATTGCAGTCGGAAACATATTACTATAAAACATTTTCTTCTTACTGTTACTTCAAATATTCCTGAAAGATACTCAACATTATTTACCGATGTACATATTTGACACTTCGAACAAGTGATTGTAATTCATTGCATACGATTCTCTTATTCTTATGTTAAATTTCAAACATGATGCGAAATATGTATAAAACAAAATCAAATAAATGGACGACATTCTATGAACAAATGTCAAGAACAAGATAATAAATGAATTTATATTCTGGTACCAGGGTGTGTTTGTAAAAGTTCACATTCAGTGATAAGAAAACAATATTCTCCCAATAAAACGAAACATGTTGCACTTGTATGTATGTATGTACAATTTCGGACAAAAAAGGCTATCCGATAATGAAAAATAAATTTAGATAAATTTTATACACCTATTGATTTTTATAAATTTTATTAGAGTCCAATGTGTTACAACAAGAGGCCGTGGTGCCATCTTCTGTGTTCGATCTAAATCTCGCATGATGATACTATAGGAAACTTTTCTTAAAACAATAATTTGTCCTTAACAAATTTAGTGCGTCTCTTCCTAAATTTTTATTCTATGCCACAAGAACATTCGTCATTGTAATAACACATAAGACATGGAATATAGTAATCTTCAGGAAGTCTACAAGCAACAAAACGATCACGTTCGTCTGGAATGCCATTTTCTGTTAAGGTCAAATCAAGATTCAAATTTTTTCCTTCGAATTTCCATGTATAAGACTTTCCGTTTGCATTGTAAATAAGGCTGCGCTTTTGAATACGTTTGATGGAATCTTCTTCACAAACCTTTATTAAAGTCTTTCGTCAACTAAACCTATTTTTTTTTTCTAGTAAAGATAAATTACCATTATAACAAATTGCGTTCCAGTGAGCACGTTTAAAATTCTACATGGTCGTGCGTTTTTGGTTAAGTATCCCTTTCGATACTTTCCATCGAGCCACCAAGGACATTTGTAAAATGGCCGCCAAGTAGTCGTAGGTACCACGTGAGGTACTACATCCGGTATCGGTCCATGGGGACAATAAGGCACTTTGACTCCAGTAACGGGATGTACGTAATATTTTATATCATTTTTCTCATGATCAAACCAGTGACTTATATCCTTACCAGCGTGAGCCAATATTGGCTGGATTTCTTTTCTCTCAGCCCAAATTTTACAAAGATCAGTCAAATCATATACTCCACCATTATACGAGACCCAACAATCAACATGTGTATTATGTACCGCGATCTCTGTTGGTAAAAAAAATTCGTTATTATTACAAATATCGTTCATAGCGGTCATATGAATTTTATTGTTTGTTTCACTACAAGGAAAAAAAACTGAATCACGGGTGACATTTTGTAGAATCTAATATTTTCGTTTTCCTTTTTTATTTTTTATTTGAAATTCTGATTGTACGACTTTCATTTGAATTTAACACGTAACAGTGTACAGATGCCATTAATGCTGATGCATACTTCCATTGATTTATACTTAATGTAACATCAAAAAAATTACAAGAATATGGAATATTTTAAGATATCGTGTACTAATAATTTCAAAACCTTTTCTAAACTGTTGGAGCTATTCATTAATACGATGACATACTGATATATGTTTCCCTTTAAAATATATTCATTAATTGACCTATTTAGTGTCATTGACTTCGGTACGAATAAACAGAAATATTTACTTAAGAAATATGTACGTTTTGTCATATGTTACAGTTGCTAGTTATTTAAAATTTACTACATTTTTGTATAGTTATGTTATAGAAATACATAAAGAAGAATAAATGTAATCCTTAAATATGCCCAAACAATGCTGCTCAATAAATGTTAGATTTTGCTAGCTTCATGTTGTTTCCACTCTATAAAAACTAGATAGGTCATAGGAATGTTTGGTTATTAAACAAATGATTTTAATATAAAAGATTTTTAGCGATTAAATATTTATTTTGCATATAATTATAGCGTAAGCGTAATGAATATAATAACGTTTTTATATAAACGACGCAATTAATTTAGCGAATAATATATATCAGTAGTAACTTTTACGTTGTAACGTTGGATTTCCATGTTATTTCCAAGCTGAAGTCAGTCACTGTATTGTGGCTATTGCAGGCGATTGAATGGCTGCCTCGTCTAGAGAGTGCACATTCTGTTTTGCTGTAATTAATTTTACGTTACTTGGTGATTTACGTGTGAAATATTCCCTGCCTCGTATAATTTGGTAAGTCTTTCGATACATTTTAGTTACCTTTGAAAAAATGATTCGTATGTTATATGTATTAGTATAATACTTTCGTTTTTAAGAAACGTGCTCATAAAATTTACGGCCGGTTATTTATTTTTTGCTAAATATCATGTTTGGTAGTTTTTTTCCTAAAGATTGTCTAATTTATCCATCAAACCTTCCGAATTGTGCGCATACATCCTTTCAAATAAATTTAGAAGTTGGCTCCAATATCCATAATATACAGTTGTCAGAACTTATGCTGGGTTGTGACATACCCCAATAGCATTTTATACTTTCGTCCAGTGATATCATTAATTGTCGTTCAAGGTTTGTCAATCTATTTAACTTCTCTACTCGTGAAAGAAATAATTATGCAATATGTCTTTATTTAATTGTATGTAATATTTCCAAGTATTATATATGGCTTAATTGTACTCGCCTGTTTTCAATAGAATTACACTAGAAAAAATGAAATAATTAATACATGATGAAGTTGAAGTGATTTGTATAATTTATTTACATCATTTTCTAATAAGATCATAATGTTATTTTATATTCTGATGTACGGTAATCGTCAAAGACGATATATGTCTTTGTATTTTGAACAAAACATCAATTATGGAGTTCTTATTTTATCGCAAAATATTCAATACAACTAAATGTGTATAACAGTCGGCAAAGATTATTTTTCAACTTATCATTCCTAAACATTCTTTTATTAACATATTTAAACGAAAATTGATGTTTAATTATAGCAGTGCCCCTACCACTGTATAATCCTTCTATCTTTGTAACAGGAGGGTATTTATAGTACATTATATGGTTTTTGAACTTGAAAACACTTTTTTCAAATATTTGTTATTTGGCATTGAGTTACAACAAACTGTTGATATCTTTAGAAACGCTAAAGGTATTTTAATAGTAGTTACTTGATTCTAAATACGTATTTTATTTCTCATTACATTTACTAAATTCTTGTAGGGTTATTGAAATCATAGCAATAGCAATAGCAATACACAAAATTTTGAAATGGAAAAGAGCGCGGACGGGTTATTGTTTTGCGCAGAGAGAAATAATGGAGCTGACGAAGGAGCAATGAATATGGTATCAGCTGATGAAAGAGTGGCCATTTTGGATGCAGGTGCACAATATGGTAAACTGATAGATCGAAAAATTCGCGAATTATGTGTTCATAGTGAAATTCTGCCCCTTGACACACCTGCATTTACCCTTCAAGAGAAAGGCTACAAGTAAGAGTATTATAACTGCATATTAAGCCATTTCAATATGGCAGATAAAAAACATTTATAAACAGTTATTATTATTTTAATTACAAAATGTAGAGCTATTGTTATTTCTGGTGGGCCGAGTTCAGTATATGCAGAAGATGCACCTAGATATGATGCGGATATCTTTAGAATAGGAGTTCCAGTACTAGGCATTTGTTATGGAATGCAAATGCTTAATAAGGAATTTGGCGGTACAGTAATTCGAAAAGAGGGTAGAGAAGATGGTCAGTTGCCAATTGAAGTAGATTCCAAGTGCCTATTATTTAAGTAAGTGAGTTTAATAAATTTCTCTGATTTAGTATTCTAATCTTTGAATCCAATGTAAAAAAAGAGACTAATTATGTCTTAGGGGCTTGGAGAAAGCACAAATGGTACTGTTATCACATGGGGACACTATAGGTAGAATGGCTGATAGTTTTCGTATAATCGCTACATCACCAAACTTTATAGCAGGAATAGCAAGTGACAAAATGAATTTGTATGGGGTACAATTTCATCCAGAGGTAGATCTTACAACTAATGGAAAAATAATATTACATAATTTTTTGTTTGATATTGTTGGCTTCACGGGTAACTTTACACTTCATGATCGAGAGGCACAATGTATTCAGTACATCAAAGATACTGTTGGCAACAAAAAAGTTTTGGTAAGAAATAAATGTGTAACGACTATGTTTCTATTTGTATGCATAAAATTATTAATTTATAATAGCTTTAATGTAATTTAAATTTTGAACGCTGTTAACACAAATACATTGCACAAGATTCACAAAATCGATATAATTCTTAATATTTAAGTATGCATTATTATGGAAGGTGTATAAAAGATTAGAAATGTAGTATACCATAGGTATACTAAATGTGATTATCTATTAAAATAAAAAAAACGATCGTAGTTGTTAGTGAGCGGAGGTGTGGACTCCACAGTGTGCGCAGCACTATTACATAAAGCTTTAAGCAAGGAGCAAGTCATAGCTCTGCATATCAATAATGGCTTCATGCGGAAAGGAGAAACACAATTTGTGGAACAAAGTTTGGCACAATTAGGAATTCAGTTGAAAGTAGTCAATGCTGGGCACTACTTCATGCAAGGAACAACATCTGTACCCTTAGATAATGTCACTCCAGTATCCAATGCAAATGCTATAAATAATAAAGGAATATGTGGAACAGGAACTAGTCCAAGAACTAGATTAACCAAAATGTTATGTGCAACAATTAATCCAGAAGAAAAACGAAAAATCATAGGAGATGTTTTTGTAAAAGTAGCAAATGAAGTAATGGCAGAAATGGGTTTAAAGCCAGATGAAGTCTTTCTTGGACAAGGCACCCTTCGGCCTGATCTTATAGAAAGTGCGAGTGCATTAGCCAGTGGTAAATTGACATTTATAAATGCGTTATTTATATTTTAAAAAATAACATTTATTTACTACTTTTTTCCATACTTATCTAAGAAGCATCCAGTCAGATTTACATAAGATGCAAACGTTTCTGCCAGGTAAAGCAGACGCGATAAAAACACATCACAATGATAGTGAACTCGTCAGAGCATTAAGAGCACAGGGTCATGTAGTAGAACCCTTAAAGGACTTTCACAAAGATGAAGTGAGACAATTGGGACGCGATCTTGGACTACCGGATTCGCTCGTTACTCGTCATCCGTTTCCTGGACCTGGGCTTGCCGTACGCATCCTTTGTGCAGATGAACCTTACATGGACAAAGATTTCTCAGAGACACAGGTATCCCCTTTTGTAATACTAACGCAGATATGATATCTTACACTTACTAATCAAATTCGAAACATTTTTGTTCGATTCAAGGTGATAGTCAAAATAATGGCAGAATACGAACAAATGCTTCAAAAGAAACACGGACTACTAAATCGCGTAGAAGGGGCGACCAGTGAATCCGAACGGCAGCATTTGCGACGAGTCTCGAGTCATTATCATATCACTGCAACACTGTTGCCTATACGCAGTGTAGGAGTGCAAGTACGAAGATTTTATCATTTTCCGGCGTTTCTACAATACCGTAACTAATATATATACAGGGTATTCGGCCACCCCTGGGAAAACTTTACATGAGCGATACCGACGTTATCGACAGCCTTGAATTTTTGTTTGCTTATGGAAATACGAACACCTTACGTTGAATAAGATTCAAGGCTGTCTTATGAAAATCCAGAAGGGAATATCAAAACTCGCCCGACAAGATTTTCACAACGAAAGGGTGAATACACAATGTTGTGAACAAAAATTACCCACGATTGTCCACAGTGTCCGCAAGTGTCGACAAGTAATCCCTTTAGGCACTAACCACTATGCAATTAAATAAACACGCACCGCGACTATGTTATTCGTGAGTGGCTATGTATACGAGCGCCATGTTTCTCCCGAGTTACTTACGAATAGAACTGTTATTAATTTTTCAAATATACTTTAATTTAAAAATGTGAAAAGGAATCGTAGGATAAATGAAATTTTCGCATCGATTTGCGTTCACGTCAAACAATGTAACGATACTAGCAGCTGACTGTGCCATCGATCGACGAGGTTCATCGGCACATGTTCGGCCAGCTAGTCAGTCGTAAAAAAGAATCAGTCAAGATAGTTCACGCGACACATTTTAGACATATTTCATTCAGTTATGTATTAAGTAGCATGTAAGAAATACAGTGATATAAACAATCAGCGAATACTTACTAAATTCCTTTTTACATTCTTAAATTAAAGAGAATTTGAAAAATTAATAACAGTTTTATTCGTAAGTAACTCGGAAGAATCGTGGTGAACTTACACATAGCCACTCGCGAATAACATAATCGCCTTTAAGTTAGTGTCTAAAAGGATTATTTGTGGACTCTTGCGGACACTGGACAATCGTGAGGTGTGGGTGATTTTTGTTCACAACATTGTGTATTCACCCTTTCTCTGTAAAAATCTCGTCGGGCAAGTTTTGATATTCCCTTCTGGATTTTCATAAGACAGGTTGAATCTTATTCAACGTAAGGTGTTCGCGTTCCCATAAGTGGACAGAAATCTAAGGTAGTCGATAACGTCGGTAAGTAGAGATTTTTCATGCTGCGTGAGAACCACTAGCACTGGCCTGCCGCAACCTTCCGCGCGAACGCAGCTGTACACGAATTGCCATTCTACAGGCGGAACTTTAAACGCTAATAATTTTGTAACGAAGCCTCCATCAACTAATTGGTATTCTTGATTTTCGTCTTATTTTGGCCTCTAGAATCGCTCATGTAAATTTTTCCCAGGGGTGACCGAACACCTTGTATATATATCTCTAATAAATTTAATACATTCATTAGGGGGATCGAAGAAGTTACAGCTATGTAGTAGGTTTATCTAGCGAAGTAACCACGTCCGAAGGAATAGCTTGGGAAGATTTATTGTTTCTTGCAAAATTAATTCCGCGTGTATGTCACAATGTGAACCGCGTGTGTTATATTTTTGGTCTTCAATTGCATCATCCCGTAACGGATATCACACCAACTCATCTTACGTCGAATGTAATAGCTACACTTCGAGAAGCGGATCATATAGCAAATGAAATGTTAGCTTCTGGCGGTTGCATGGAGGCAATCAGTCAGATGCCAGTAGTTTTAATTCCCTTACATTTTGAACGTGACGCTGCTTCTCGGATACCTTCATGCCAACGTTCAGTCGTTCTTAGGCCGTTCTGTACTAACGATTTTATGACTGGCACCCCGGCTATTCCAGGCAAGGAATTGCCGATGCATGTAAGTATAATGAATTTCGATTAATTAAATTAATATATTGTAAATGTCAATCATATTTTTTTTCTTTTATAGGTGATGAAGAAAATGGTGATCGAAATATCTTCAATACCTGGTATCTCGCGTGTTTTGTACGACTTAACATCTAAGCCGCCGGGAACTACCGAATGGGAGTAGTAAACGCTCATCCCTAACTCACCCCTTTCTATTTTTTCACCATCCCTGCGCGTAACGATTACAAAGTAAAAAGTATATTTAAAAAAAAATATATATATACATATATATATATATATATTACAAAAATACGTACGAATTCGAGGTTTATGACTTCTTACCGATTTATATGAAACCTTTGAGCAAAATTCTTTCAAAAACATATGTTCTTGATTGTAAATTAATATGTTATCTAAAAAAAATACTGATACTGTGTTCAATAAAATTGAAGGTAAGTATCATGTTTGCTTGTAAATAGGTTTCTTATTAATCATTGTAAAAATATTAATTTATTAAATTCCGAAAAATTTACATTACATCATTGTTACACTGCAAAAGGTTGCATTTGATTGATGGTACCATTAGATTGCTGTTGTATTCAATCTGCATATAATGTTGAACGTATTTTACTGTTTTCCTGTATGTCCTATGCCAAATGCAATTTCCAGTTTTTGTCATACATCTAAAAAATATGAACATAAATAAGTTAATGTATTATGTCTTAATATCATTTTTATTTATCAATCGTAACCGAGTAAAACGATATCTATCCCTTGAAACTTATGTGTTATATTACTTAATATCCACCTATTATAAGGGTGAATATAATGAATCTTACATAAAATATAGATATACCTATGCATGGTTTTCAACAAGACGTGTAAATCTTCGATGCGTTTCTTCACTGGAAGCATGCTAAGAAATGTTGCAAGTGATAAGAAATCGACCTCATTCACAATTTTAGAATTAGTGACCCAGATTTTTATTTGCATCTTCACCTGCAACCGTATATTTTATATTTATATTAATCCCGCAGAATGTATTTGCAAAGAATAATATACTATAACGAGCATGCATCCCTTATACTACCTGAAACTATATTGAAATTTAACAAGATATTGTCACTATAACATTTTGTATGCTTTCCGATGAAGACGTTTCATGAATCAAATACAGTAATCTGTAGTGATAAAAATTAATCATTAACACTACCTGTTCTAGAGGTAAATTAAGTAAGCGATTAACAAGATCAATTAAAATGTCTTGATGCCCAATTGCACTTTCATTATCTTCCGTTATAGTTCGATTATGAGAAAGGATGGCTGCAGTTTCGTCTGCGCTAATTCGACTTTCATCAGATTCATTCCTTTTCAGACAAGGTATTATAGGATTTGAAACACTGTTACTGATTTTTTTATCTGATGTACTTTCACGCTCATCTTTATTTTCTATACTTTTGAACGCAGCCTGTATACCTTTCTTTCTGTTATGTTTGAAACATGTTATTTTAGAATTTTTACTATTATTCTTTGTTTTCGAAATACGCTCAATCTTTTTGCTTTCTTTTGTAATATTTTTAACTCTTGCCTCTCCACGGTTACGCAATGTTTCATCTTCTTTTATTTTTGGATAACGTTCTGCTTTTTTAGCCTTACAGTACATTTGTACATCGTGTCTTAAATCTTCGGATAATGCAGCTAAAAATTCTGGATCGACTTGTGAAAAAGATATATTTTGTTCTTCATTGCGACGAAGTTTTGTGATGTCTGATGTGCATATCGAAGATGCACAGTTATCGTCTCGATTTATGTTAATATTCAGTCTATTCTGATTCTTTTTAACACTATATTCATTAAGTATTTCATTTCGTATATCTTCAGGTAGTTCTATTAAAACGGCCATATCGATGTCTTCTATTGGTGGCATTTCTACTTTTGTTGATCTTGAAATACCAGGTTTAGTTTGCTTAAAAAAATTTTCATGAAGCGTTTGTATACATTTTTCTGATTTCTTCTCGTTAACTTCTAATGCGCTACTATTAGATTGTTTTTCATTATTTGTTACAGTAATGTAATTCTTGTTTTCATTAAAATCTAGAATTTTAGTTTGAATTTTTTCTGAAAATTCAGAAGGAACTACACTAGTCGGAACACGTATTTTTTGCTGATTATCAAGAATTACGCTTTCATGGACGAATGCGATAGAATTTGGATGTACTGAAGATTGAGTTTCACTGCTTCTATTTATTTTATCACATTGTTTATTTTTATTAATAAAACTTGTTAAGCGTGTATCACGCGATTTATTTTTCAGTATTTCTAGTCTGGTTATCTGTATGCCAATGCCTCTTGCATCTTCAGGCACTTTTTGTATTTGATTCCAAAGCGTGATGATTTCCCTAAATCGTATGCAAATAAATTAATTCTTCATTTACATACCTTACTCGAAAGTACAAATACACTTTAACTCACTTCGTTATGATATCAACGTCGTCGATAGCAGCGATAAGATTCTTTGATTTTGTTATATAATCACACAATCCGTGACCCATAAATTTTGCACTTTCTTTTGGCGCTTCTTTAGACCTAACTAAAAGTTTTAATGTAATACATCTACCTCTTGCATTAATGTTCTTCAATCGATTGCATACTTCTTCGGACAACTTTTTCAAGAAGTCTATTGCATCTTTATTACTTTCGAATCTTATTCCATAATTAACTTCAGCGGAGACCGATTTTCTAACATGTTCTAAATTAAGTTTTGAATTGTCTATACCACGACCCATATTATACAGCATTTCCCCCATTTTTTTACCAAATGTCTTTTGTAACATTGTTAGCGAAATCGCCTGTAATTCTGCGCAAGTATGCACATTAATACTATTTAATTTTTGTGTTGTTGTCCACCCAACTCCTAATTTGAATAATGAAATAAATTATTAAAGAATTGGTTTATTCCTACTGAATAATAATACTACACATAACAGCATCCATAGAATACTACCTGGCAAGTCTTGTACGTTGAAGGTACCAATGAATGTTTTAACATGTTCTGGTTTTATATAATACTGGCCATCAGGCTTAGCTTTTCTAGTTGCCAACCTTGCTAATAATTTATTGTTTCCAAATCCTGTTGATACAGGACAACCTGTTTTTTTTTTTATTTCTTGCCTGATTACAGCTGCAAACTCGATTGGTGTTAAACAAGATTCATGAAGTATTAATGCACAGTTTGCATACATTTCATCACAGCTGACTGCTTCGATATCTAATGTATACGATGCTACAGTATCATACAATGTGTAGGAAACTTCTCTGTAGCCTTCAAAATCATATGTTATTGTTTTTAAATTGGGACATATTTTTAATGCTTCCCCTAAGAACATGCCATTTTTTACCCCAGCTTTCCTTGCCTCGTAGGAACAAGATGCTATTTCCGACATTGAACCATGTTCGTCATTTTCATTTTCATTGTTGCTTGAAACTTCCTTACTACTACTTGCAGAGCGTTTATTACCTTTTGCATGCGTTACTGCAACAGGTAGACCTTTTAATTCTGGCTTATCTCTAAGACCCACCGAAACAAAAAAGCAATCCATATCAATATGCATTATAATAGATTCTTCATTAATTTCTGTCTTATTCTCCTCTTGTAAATAGAGCATTTCATTATTAAAACTGGATTGAGTGTCGGATAATGATCTAGTTAATTTTATATCTCGTAATTCTTTCAATCTAGTTAACCCAGGAAATTTTCCATTGCCTTTATCTCTTAATTCATTAACATATTCTTTAAATGTTGCTCCCATTGTTGAGATGTGATGTAATCGAGAATGGTTATAAAATTCAGATAGGAATTCTGAATTTTTTGTAGAAAGAACATCTCTTGAATTGAGAACTACTGGGACATTTGTATTATCTTGATTGGTACTAATACTTTTTATTATTTCACTTTTCTTATCATTATCATTTTTTGACATGTTGTCTGTTTGCATCTTATCATGTATATCAAATTCAACATTTGTCCTAGTTTTTGTAGCTTCTATTTTGTATTTCAATTGGGGTTGCATGTTTGTACAATTAGAATAAAGTAAATAATTTTGAATATTTAAAATCCTACCAGCCATTATACTATCTGTGATCCATTGAGGTTTACAAATAGGAATTGGATGTTGACTTTTTCTATACATTACTATCTTAGAATAAGGTAAATTAGATGCAATGATATGGGTTGTAGCTCCTGGTCTCATATAGTGGTGGTATATACCTCCATATTCCATCATTAAACGACGAAGTTCATCTGCCGTTGGATCTGTGTAACCATTTACAAAAATTGCAATTCCATTAAATAGATTCGATGCATGCTTAAACTCTTTGTTTGCAACGTTCCGAAATTGTTCCTCCAATTTTGCTTGCTTAGCAGCCATATAGCCGCCCTAAAATCATTATAGGATAGAAAAATCTATTTGGTTAGCTTTGTTAAATATATATTCTTTACATACCCAATCTTCAAATCCATTTTCCCCCCAAGCATCGTCTTTTTTCTTTTTCGACATTGTGATAAATATTAAATAAAATAAAATTACCATGCAATTTTTAAGTGTATAATTTTAAGACGTAATCATCATACTGATTAATATATATTATGTCTTAATTTGTTAAGCGTTATAAATTAAATAAAATGCTTCTTTTACACGGTATTTATAGAGCTCCACTTTTTATAACCTTCTTAAAAAAAATACTTCGTGAAACATCTCTATTTAACTCAAAATAACATTTAAATCTGTAAAAAGAATATTTAAAAAAGCGTAAATATGTTATCGTGACGCATTAAATAAAAATTGTTTATTTCAGTAACGTTTCAATTCCGTTCACACATTCGCGGCCGGTGTTGAATGTGACACAAGGTCACTTCATTTTAGCTTTATTAGCTGCTTTACTGAATATTCAAATTACATGATTTCCTTTCGAGTACTATTTTAAACCTATTTATTCGAATATCCGATGTTATAATGAAAACACATTAAGATACAAAAATAACTTTGTTTGTTTATTCAACAATTACTCATACAGTTTAAATAGTATATATTAACGGTAACTATACATGTTGCTGATTACTATAGTTTGTACGGTTCATTGCATTTTTATTTATATAAATTCTATAAAATGATATTTGCTGTATTATACACTTTAATTAGGTTTGTAATTTCATGATAGTAAACCTTATACATATAAACATTACAAAATAATAAAATATACATTTGCTATAGTAATAACAAGTAAAAAAAATCGTATCAAACGATTTATGACTATAGAAGAATGTTAATAGAATATATGTACTATTTTTGTACATCAAGAAAAAAATTCAGATTTCTCATTGTAAAAATATGCATGCAATGAATTACATGTGCAATTGTAATGTAATGTATGATCAATTTTGAATGAATCATTACATAAAATTCCAAGAAATAAAATATTTAACCAATAATAATATTTGTAATAAAGATAACATTCCACAAATACATTTTTAGCATGCATGTATGAAGCAAATAGCAAGTAACAATATAATATGAAATCTGTATTGGAAGAGCAAATGTTCTTCTATAAATATATGTTTTCAAAGAACTTGTTATAAAACAAGGCATTAACTAAGAATGATGAAGTAATTGTTTGGAATATTTTTGGAGATGCTGGTTTACTATACATATATGTATATACCAAACTGAAGTGTTATTTATAGTTATGCAAAATATGTTTTATACATTGTGTTCATTTGTTCTAAGAAAATAAATGTTAAAACAGTATGTGGACCTAAACGAGCATAATAAGGAAAGAAACCTTTCCACAATGAGAACAATCCCTCGTTTCGACAAACTCGAACTATGACATCTATTGCACCTTTAAATTCAGGCTTACCATCCACGATTTTCATATTTTGTATTCTGTAAGAAATTAATGATTCAAATATGTGATATCATTTTGAAAAATTATATTGCTAGTTTGAGCGCATTCACAATATTTACCTTGTTTTAGCAATATCAACTGGCATAGAAGCAGCAGTCGTTACTAAACCAGAAATCATAGAGCTCACAAAATACAATGGAGTATTGTCTTTGAAATACCCTATCCAAACGAAGAAAAGGCAATGCTATAGCAACTGATCTTTATTAAGTTAGCAATGTATGTTTATATGTATACAAACCAGTATTGATTAAAATTTCTTTAGTTTGAGAATAGGATGCCAATTGAGCTGCATTTACAACCATAGCTCTTCCCATTGTTGGTACAGTACCTCTCCATAATACTAAAATACCTTCTTCTTTGATTATACGAACCAGTGCATTAAATACATTCTTATAATTGCGTCTCTCTTCTAAAAATATAACACTGTTCAGTATTGACAAATTTCTAACAATGAACAAATTGTAGACATACCAAAAGGTAGTCTGCCATCAGCAGTCATTCTAATTAAAACAACTTCAGCAGGAGTACCCACAAATGCTCCTATACAACCTGCAGTACTACCTATCAATGCTTTTAGAAGAAAGCTGGGATGACTATCCTTTCTGAATATAATGATCAAATAATAACAAATGATGTATAACATATCTTTATATGTAAGAATTCTTATCTCTTTTATCAATGATTTTTAAAAACATAGTGTAACTATTAACAAAAGTATACTCACGAGGCAACTTCAGACAGCCACGAATTTACACCAAGTCTTGTAGTCGTATATGTACTTTGGCGTAATAACCCAGCAGACAAACCCGCATAGAAAGCTAGGAAACCTTCCTTTTCTATTATTGAAGATACTATTTTCATTGTTGAAGTTTTTGTACCACTTAATTGCATACGATTTTTTATTAAATCTATTGGTTGAACAAAACATGTTGCAGCCATTCTAGAATGGAACAATTGACTTCAATGGAAAATTTAAATTTTACTAGCAAACAAATAAAGAGAAAAGTAACCCGATACAAGTAGAAGCCAGAAATAAAGTGTAAAATACACAAAGTTATTTTTAATTTTATAAGTATGGGAGCTAATGTTACATATTTTGATATACCATATTCTAGAATTACATTCCCTTCCATGAATGAAAAATTATAAATCAATATGTAAATTTTATGATAATTAAAAAATTATATACGTGTACTATCTTATGATTTGTTTTTTGAATAATTATAACTAACAACTTAAAATAAAATTTCAAGTAAAGCAATTGTTTAGTAAGTATTTATTTTATTTGATTTTTTTTTAACATCGTTATTTCATTTACCATACAATTATTTGTAAAACAAGTAAAAGAATTGCAAAACAAACCCTGCAGTCCCTCCTATGAGAAAATTCACTGCATTTGGCACCGTCTTTTGGTTACTCATAATGACAACTATGTATGACACTTGAACTGTCAGTTAGATATAAATTCTTTAAATTTGATTAATTTAAAATGATTTAAAAAAATTAGTTATATTTTAATTGAACACGACGTTCGCGAGACCTTATAAACCGAGAAGACCAGCTTCGATACAGACCGCTTACGAGGCATGCAAAAATTTTAGTGAAAGATTATGAAGTGTTCTTGAACTTTTATCTTGTATCGACCATACGTAGAATTCCAAAATTGTACATTCAACGACATCTTGTAGTATATGAATTCAACCATGACTAGATTACTATAGTAAAAAGAAGTCGATAATATAGAATTTGTTTATAATTATAAAATTAAAATAAAGATATAATTCAAAAATTAAATTTTCAATATTTTATTTTTAGAATTTAATTTATAAATTTTATTTTTTTCAAAAAAATACATTATTATTAAAAATATTATTAATAGCGTACATGCATATAAATTTAATCAATTTATAGGTATTATTTATGGAATAAAAAAATGAATATAAATATAATATTAAAAAATTTACATTAGAAGTAATTGCTAATTATTATAATATGGTTTAAGAAAACAATTCTTGTATTTCTATTACATTTTCTATAAACTTTCAATACGTGTTATAGTATAAAATTTCAATATATTAATTTAAACATTTGACTATATGTATACTGCATAGCAATGTTACGATTAGATACAATTTTTTACATTTTTTATAGACATGATTCGTAAGTTGAACATTTCTATCCTTCTTAGGAATATTCTATTCTATCTCTCTAGGAACTAGGTTCATCAGCAAACGAACTGTAGTGTGTGACTTTCAATCGCATTCTTTTGTATTTTAATTCGACTGTGATACATGTCTGACATAATAAATACCACAGTGTCGACAATATATATGATGAACTAGACAATTCAATGGAAGTTTGTCTTTGATAAATTAAAATATCAGCCTTATAAGTATAGTTTCATAGTGTACTCTGCATATAAGGATTATTTCGAAAATATTTCGGGAAACATAAAAATATGCTTGTAACGATGAAAATTTTTAACCTGCATTTTTTATTAGAAGAAACATTTTACATCTATTGAGACAATCGATAACTAGTCGATACCGGATATCGGGAGCCACGAACCGTCAGTGGGGAGACCCCCCCCCCACTTAATCGATTGATTATTTCAATGAAATTAATCGATTGATGCTCAATTCTGAGCCGTACAGCTTTAATTCCGTTAAAAAGTAGTAGAATTTCTGTAATTTCATTTTCTACCTCACTTCCTCTTGTGTTTATTTCTAAATATTTTGGTAATGTTGCGAGTGACACGAAAATGATACTGAAAAATGGGCTGAAAGATCTACTCGTATACCTCGTGTGTACGTAGACTCTAAAATGAAATCTGACCGCACTATTGGAGGAGGTATGTGGCGATACCGTCGCGGTCGCGGAGCCGGAAGCCGGAAGCCAGAAGCAGGAGCTACGGCCGCGCCTTCTTTTTGCGCTTGCGATGGAGCGAACGGTTGAAAATAGTAGCCGCATCCCGTAGTTTCGCAATTGTTAATCGATCGGTTTTTGTTCGTAACGGACCTGGTTGCTACGCAAAAACTTCGATAGATTTATTCCGAGTTCGTCACGTGTCGCAAAATTATCGCCCGCTTCGTCACGGTCGCAGCCTCTGCATTTTACTGTTTTCCGTTATTCGTTATCGTTATTGTTACTCGTTTGTTCGTTATTTGTTGCACGTTTAATTGTTGTTATTTGTAGAAATAAACGTTTTGTTATCTGTTATCTGTCGTGTATGCGTTCGCACTTCCGACAGGTTCCTCTTTGGTTCCGTTCTCACGCGATCTAATGAAAAATAGTCGCAGTCAAGCGCGAGGTTTTCTTATCCCCTAGTGTATGTATATGTACATATATGTGGCGACACCGTCGCGGCTGCGGAACCGGAAGCAGCAGCTACGGCCGCGCCATCTTTTTGCACTGACTTTGGAGCCAACGGTCAAAAACGGTTGCTGTGTTTGGTAGTTTTCCGCAATCGTTAACCGTTCGATTTTTGTTCGTAACGGACCTGGTCGCTACGCAAAAACCGCGGTTGAGTCATTCCGAGTTCGCCACGGGCCACGAAATCACTGCTCGCTTCAGCACGGTCTCGGCTTTTGCATATTACCGTTTTCGTTATCCGTATCGTTATCGTTATTGTTATTGTTATTGTTATTGTTATTGTTATTGTTATTCGCTGTTCATTATTTGTTACGCGTTCGATTGTTGTGTTTGTGAAAATAAACCCTTTTATTGTCTGTTAACTGGTGTCCGCACGTTTATACCTCCCGCCTTCGCTTTCTGTTCTCACGCGACCTAGTGTAAAATAGTCGCTATCCAGGGACCCGACATATACATACGTATTGTAATAATTTATTATGATAGAAATTTGAATACATTTTTCTTGACTGTAAATATTTCGTCGTGGTTAATAATTATAATCACCTTGCTTATAAATTCATCCTGAAAACAAATAAGTTTGATATTATATTTTATCATGCTTAGGAGATATCTATTATATTTCATGCATATTTCATACATTGCTTCTGTAGTACTTTCAATATCATTTTCTTCATCGCTACTATCACTTATATCCAAATTGTATAAGAAGGAATCATTTTCACACATAGGAAAATAATATCTGAAATTGTATATTGATAAATAAACTTAAATTAATTTAATAGATTAAAATTTCACATTGTATATGATACTAACTCTGGTTGATCCCAAATCTTTTGCATAGGTACTTTAAAATGATTTTGTTGCTTCATGTGCTCCAAAACATTCTCTACTTTTGTTTCACAGAAAACACAACGTTGTAAATGAATTTGCCTTCTTATATAGTTTACCACTTTCACCTATGTTAAAATTATGGTTTAACAATTTGAATTTAAGTATTTTATTACTTTGTTTACCAAATGTATTAAATCTCACTTTTTGATAGAATGTTAAATTTCTTGAAGCATCAATAAAATCAAAATCGTGATCTGTTTCCATATGCGTACAAATAAGATGAAAATGTTTATTGTTATAATTGCAGAACAAACATGTTATACCAATATCTTCATCATTCCAGTCAGACCATGTTTCTTCATCTTCGTTTTCGCTATTTTGATCCTCTATTGCATCATTTTCTTTTGAATTAGTCTAAATGTATTAGAAATTATATAAAAATACTTATACGTATGTATGTAATAGACTATTACTAAAAATTTTAATCAATAAAATACCTGTTTATGCCTCCATGTTTTTCCAGGTTCTAAATAATTATTTATATAAAATTTATCGTATGCCTTATTATTAGGATTTATACGTTTGTGCAGTTTCTTACGCATGTGCTCTTTCAATGCTGTTCTGTCTTTAAATAATTTTTCGCAATATATGCATACCAAACTGAAAAAGTACTTAGAATATACCAATGTAATGCGTAATTGTTTTATGAATGTTTCCCCTTACTTGGTTCACCTTACTTTTCTATAGTGTTCTGAATCTTATCTAAAAATTCATCTATGAATACCAAATTATCCGGTTTTCCCAAGTATAAATTATGTTTTTGTGCCAAATGTTTTACATATGTAATGCGTAATCCTGAAAATTCCATTCGACAAAAAATGCAACCACGTTTAAAATTGGTATCTGTCCTTTCTCTGGATTGTTCTGTTAAAGCCCATTCCTTAAAGGGATACATTGTCTAATTATTCTTTACAAAATCTTACATGGCATTATGCAAAATCATGTGAAAACTCATGTAACCCATCAATTATAAATTTTTAATACCAATTTAGCTTGATGTATTTCGTCTCTCAATGTTTTATCCTCCGAAATGCAATCAGAAAGGAAAAAATATGATTCATTTTTACTTGGTTTTCCATCAGGTGTACAGTCCATCAACATTATTGTACAATATTTAGTTAATGGCTCTTCTTTAAATTTAAAACTCCAGTAATGTATATAGCTAAAATAAATTAAGTCATAAAATTCTAACAAATAAAACTCAAAATAAATATCTATATGAAAAGAATTTATACCTTTTTAGACTAGCAATGTTACAGACATCTCCTATTATAAGTCGATGTTGTTCAAACAAATGAGTTAAAAAACATTTTTCATTCTCAGGAAGAACAAACTTTATATCACATAAAAGACATTTTGTGGCATAAGGTTTATCATCTAACTCAATAAATTGAGATTTAAGTGTGGTATGGTCTTGCTTACAAACATCGCCAGGATACGATGAATCTTTATGTTTTTCTGCAATACAAAGTTACACAAACTATTCACAAATTTATTATTTTACACAGCTATTCGTCATAAAAATAATTAAAACTAAAATAAATATGTACCTCTGAGATTCATAACTACTGCAATTTTGAAGCTAAATAAATTATGCACATTAATTTATAAACTTTGATTTAAGTTCTCAAATTGCATACGTAAATAGGTTAGTTATCGAAAATCTTTTATAATACAAAGTTATCTACATAGTCAAATAGAAATAGCATTTATTTTTTTATTGACTTTGTTTAACAGATATATTTTTTATAAGTACGTGTTAATTAAACACAAAAAGATCAGTAACATCATCGCATGTTACCGATCAAAACTTAATTCTCTCAGAAAATCGTACAATCTGTGATCTGTGATCAATCACGTGTTTTCATTCGGTCTGTCAAAATAAGAATTTCCTATTGGACAGATTGGACTATGGACAGACACATAGTAGACTCTACACGAGCTATGCTGAATGAGAAACAGTAAAACCGCGAGAGTCTGATTTAGTCTGACATAGATGTAACGATTATATTAAATAATGTATGAAAGTATGAAAAGAAGTAACTGATATAGAATTCAAATTTCCCGTCACGCATACCCTACTCCTGCCCCCTATTGCTCTACATCGATATTTAGTTCCATAACAGCTTGCATTCATGGCGCTGCAAAGGACTTTGCTAAATCCTGAGAGCTGGTAACTCTGAGGTCTCTGACTTACCCCTGTTGTGCCGAAGTTCTATTTGACCAGGTTGCCTTTATACGTAAAAAATGGCAGCAATTACAAAAACTGTAAAATTGTGCAAGTGTATGTACATTATTTTTTAAGCAATTTATTAACAAATTGTAAACCATTATCAATATTACTTTCGTAGACGTTAAATTGATCATAATTTACTTACAACTAATTATTATATAACATCAATACTCACTTCATGCGATTAGAAAATTAATTATTTCTTTAAATACAAATCATAATTTGCACGTTAATAGCATTTCTTATAAGATTTAAATAAATAAGTCATATACATTTCTTTTGTAAAATATACTTTTGTTTAGTATTTTAAAGGTTATATAGCATTAATATACTGATTACTTTTATTATTGATGTATTTAATTATTTATGTAATTAATTTAAATGAATGATATCGATTATTATTTATGATTGTATATTTATTGCAGCTGCTGTAGTGGCAGCAAAGCCTTTACTTTCTTGTATGCAGTATTATGCAAAAGTAGAATTGGTTCCACCAAAAATTAGCGACATTCCTGCCATTCGAAGTGGTATCAATCAGCTGATCACCTCTGCCAAAACTGGAGCATATCGTAATCTTACAGTACGTGAAGCTTGGCTGAATACTTTGGTAACCATTGAAGTCTGGTGTTGGTTCTTTGTTGGCGAATGTATTGGAAAACGACATCTCATAGGATATAAGGCTTAAGAATGTGTTGTACTACAATTCACATAGATATAATTTCTGTATAAATTAGACATTCTCATAAATATAATACACTACAAAAAATTTAGGTTTTATAAATGTATTTTAATACCATTTGGTTAATCGTTTTCCCATATCAATTATATTCATTTTACACCATTTTTTTTTGTGTCTACTAATATATTATTACACAATATATAAAAATAGAAGATTAATTATAATTATTTACATGAATTCACAAATATAATTATGTTAATGTATGTTGTTTTGCATATTGCCATATACATATGGCACCACTGACATGAACATTTAATGAACGAATCACACCAACTTGTGGTATTTCTATACAAGTATCAAACAAAGGTATTAAATTGGCAGGAATTCCATCCTTTTCATTTCTGAAAATAGTATTTATATAACAATAAGAAAAATCATTAAACTGGTTTAATTACTTACCCTAAGACAAGAATTGTCTGTTTTTTAAATTTCATATTTAGTAAATTTGTACTATTAGCTGTTTGTTCCACACCTACTAAACACCATCCCATATCTTTCTTTCGTAACAGATATTCACTTAATTGATGAGGTTTTATCTAAAATATTTGTAAGTTTCTCGCTTATGAAATATAATTTTTATATTTTGTTGTAAAACATCATGCACAAAATACCTCTGTAATAGTTATCCAATTTTCAGCTGATACACTGAGACTTTTAAATTCTCTGTCCTTAATTTGATTTAAGTTAGCAAGAACTAATTCTTTAACATTGAAAATTTCACAAGTACGAGCAAGTCCTCCCAAATTTGGAATACGATCAATGAGACATGCTACAACTATAATTCCGCCTTCGTCTGATAATATTGTTTTATGAGAAATGAATTCTCGAATTGTTGGAAAAATGACATTATGTGACAAAGTCATGGCCATTGAAGGATTAATTTTCTTCTGAATATCGCTCAGTTCTTGGAGATGTATTTCAGAATATTTCCTAGGTGAGTCTGCATTAGTTATATTTTAAAGTATTAGAGTTTAATATTCTGTAATTGTTGGTAATATACAGATACAGTGTGTTTCACAATGCGTGATATACAATTTAGAATGATTCTATTTGCAGAAATAAATTAAAAACATAGAAAACAATATTTTTCTCCATTCACGTTAAAATTCACTAATCAAATACATTTATATTTTATTATTTTTTTAGTATTCTCAAAAACGAAATCTTTTCAGTATCACACCTTGTGAATCACTTTGTACATTGATCAACATATTTATCAAAATACCTGTGGATTTCGTTAAATACGAGGATGTTTCAGTTTCTGATAACAATGTGTTTAAATTATATAATCGAAGAGGATGGTTATGAGTTTCTTTAAAGTTTAGAATTCTAAAGAGATCTGGATCAATCCATTCGCTTTGATCCATATCCGTCAACCGAGGAAGTTCAAAATATAGTGTCTACAAATGCAAAAATTACTTACTATCTGTATCCCATAGTACTTACATTTCAATAGTTTAAGATATAAATTTTAATAATATTACCTGTAGACTGTAGTCTTGCATAGGATGAAAAACAGAAAGATAAAAGTCATCTTGAATTTTGCTAGAGTTTTTCATTAAATTTCCATCTTTTAAACTTTCGATCACAGTATTGTATAATCCTTTGTACTCCCATACGACACGATCACAGTTTAACTTTTCTAATATTTCATATAATTTTACAAAAATAACCTACATTAAGTGTAAATATTAATGCGTTAATAGAAGAGTTTCATAAAATATGAAACCCACTTCAGTAGTACATGGAAAACACAAAACATTGAAAAAAGTTTATAAAGTTTATATAAATATATGCTCTATTTGACTTTATTTTTGAATTAACAAACTATTATATATCTTACTGCACAGTTTACCTGGCTATAAAGACGCATATTATACTGCTGTCCTAAACAACAACGTGCAATGTATTTTATTCCTGTTGAAATAAAATTACTTTGAGAGTTATTAGGAAGTAGCTTTGAAATGTGATACACTATACATGCTACTGAACTGACACATCCTGGACGTGTTACGATCATCTACATGGATAGTTTATTAGTTAACATCATATAGATAAGATATAATCAATTTATATGATAAAATTTGTTTAAATACCTCTTCAAAAAATTCCCATAATTTATAATGAAATTCACTATTTTCTACAAAAATTTGTATTAGTATCCATTCTTGCATTAATCGCACACTGTGTTGATTACTTTCCAAGAGCATGAAATTACAGAGAAGTTCTTGCAATGTAGCAGTGTCTGTCTACAGAAAGAATTACTTAATATAAAATAATATTAATTTTAGCACTCCCTGTATAATATGTTTGTTTACTTATTATTTGCTCAATTATACAGTATTTTATTACCTTATTCAAAGTTGGCTGTAATATTAATAAGATTTGCATAATTCGATGCTTTATCTTATGTATGTATGAATGATTGAAATATCTTTTATTTTTATACTTTTCTAACTTCTGTAAAACAATTGGAAGAAATGTTGATGTATATTCTATGTCTGCACTTATTATCTTGTGTAGTAGTATTACAGAAAGTACTCTGATACTAGTATAATTATCATGACCTCTGTTTAATCAAATAAAAAAAATTAATAGTACAATGGTACTTAGAATAATATAAAATAATATGAAAATACTCACATCATTGATATATGTTGCGGATAATAGTTTTTATAATGTTTTGTAATGTATAAATATGTTTGATTTTCTACTTGTTCATCTCTTCTGAATACTTGTCCATGAAGAAGACATGATAACAATGATTCTTGTAAATTTCTTAAATTACATACATTTAACAATTTCATTTCATTTAATAAAATTTTTTTTAATTTTGGTGTATTGTTACTTTCTTCGATTAACTGATCAAGAAACTAAAATATGATAAAATGATTAATATATTAAAATTATTAGTATTAGATACCCCAGAAAGTTTGTGCAGTTTTTCTCAAGCTATCACTTTGGCAGATGGTGATCAGATATTTTATTACGTTTTACTGCTTTTTTAATAAAGACTCGAAAATAACGTGTAAAATGTTTGCTACAAGGTTACGTGTTGACTATGATTGAACTGATTAAATTGATATTAAAACATACCGCAATTTCTAAGCTACGAAAACCATACGAACTTTTTAGGTACTTAATATTTGGATAATATTTTATCATCTTACATGATTTACAAAGTTCATAGCATCAGGGAGTACCAAAAAATTGTTGTTTATAATGACTCCTATAAGATTTTTCATTGCCATAAAGTATACCTTATTCTTTGTACTTAACAATGTAGATCTCCAACAAATAGTAAAAATAGATTCTACATTCAATTTATTTTGTGAATCATTTATCCCTCCCTTTTCAACAATTGTCTTTAATATCAATGCTATTTCTGGTACAATTTCATTCCCTCCTACCTCGTAAAGATCCAATATATTTTTGAACCAATCAGTTTTTTGTAGCCATGATTCTATTTCTACTTTTGATAAAAATTGATTTGTAAGTTTTGCAAATAGTAAATAACAATCTGATGCGATTTTTCCTTTAGAATGTATTTGATCTTGATCATTCTCACATATACGAATATAAGAAATATCTAATAAAGGTAGTATGTAAAATGATGCAGGGTTTATATTCAAAATACTTTGAGTATAATGTAAAATGTATAATGCATACATATAGTGCACATTTGAATACTGTTTTATATTTTCGAGAATAGTTATACTTTCGTTTCTAAACTTTTCAATATAATTTAAAATTTCTTTTTGTGGTAGTATTAGATTTCCATTACTAAGAAATGAGATAATTACAGTCAAATAATTCTTTACTTCTTCATAATTGAATTTGTATGGTATACTTTTATTATTTTTAAGTAAAAATTTTAAGGCATCGTTAATATATAGAGACAACAATTGCATGAGACTTTTATTCATGTTTGTTGCATTTAAATTAAGTAAATGTGACATAACTTCTATGATATAAAAGATATGTGCAATATTTGCATAAGGTCTTATATCAATTCCATTAAGTGATGATAGCCACTTATTTAATATGCCTTCTACAGGGCATATTTTACATTCCAATATTAAATTTGCATCATGTAATATACATATCATAAAAGCAAACTTTGCTGGACTAATTCTAGATTGTTTATTGTGATACAAATTTTCTTCGCATATTAATTTTACAAAATTGATAACATCTGTTTTTATTAGCACATCTTTTAACCATGCTGTCATAATATTCCATGAATACGAGCCTCTAATGAGAGCTTCTTCAGGAGGAAATTCTGATAATACATCTATTACAATTTTCAAATCATTTATTTTCTTCGATGAAAGAGAAATTGTGTTCAAAAGTTCAATTTGTGATGCGATTCTTAAAATGTGGGAATGTGCATTTAAATTCTTCTGTACTAAGAACTTAACTCTAGTTAATTCATTATTTTCCCAATAATTTGAAGATTTACTTGAAACTATTCTTAAAATTAACATCATATAAAATATTGGTATTGGAGCCCACATTTCATTGTTTATTATTTGAAGGAGTTTATCAATGAATTCAATTTGTTCTTCTTTGACACGTATAAATAATGTTATAATATCATTTAATATTTCTGGTTCTTGTTGATAAGATTTGCATTCATATAAAAATGTGTTATTTAAAACATGTACAAACAATTTCAAAAATTGATAATCATGTATAATTGTATGTAATTCGCAAACATATAATATTCCTTGCTTTACTATAATATTATTTTCATGTTTCAATATTCTTTCGAAAAGTAGTTGTAGCCAACAATTGTTAAAACAGTCATTACATGATACATGTTCTTTGTTTCCTCTTATTAGAGCTGTTATATGTGTCAAAGCTGGCATTATTAAATGATACTGCTTCTCCTCTAATGCTTCTAATATCAAAAAAAATTTTTGTTTGATATTGGTTATTGATACATTTGTTTCATCTGATCGATTACAAATAAAAGGAACAATTGGTGGTTTCTCTAATTTTAACACACTTTTGTCTACAACACTTATAAAATCAGTTATTCGTTTCATTACAAATAATGCTTGTTTACGATACTGTTGTATAGGACATTTTAAACTGTTTATTATTAATAACCATAATCGTTCTGAGTAGCATAAATTGTGATACGTAGTATTTGCCTCTTTGTAATTTAATGAAAAACAAATATCTGTTATTATACTCAATGCATCAAGTGAATCTTTTAAATCTTCAAATTTATTTAAAACAAAGTCCCATATAGATGGCAAAATATTATCAGGGCCAAAAGTATTTATTAATTTCGGAAAAATTGAAGCAAACGATCGCCATTCTTTATTTTCTTTTATTTGTAGCCATAGTATTATATCTTTCAAATACAATAAACTAAAATGTTTCAGAAAATTTGATTCTATATTATTGTATAAAAATTGTCTTAATCGTAACGATTCTAAAAAACATTCAATTGTTTTCATATAAAAAATTCTACTTTCATTACTAGCGAAGAAATCAACATTGGATTTTTGAAAATTTAGTAAATGTTGTTCAATACATTTAAGGTCGCAGTAGAGTATTGTATATAACAATATAATATCGTATAAAATTAGTAAATCTGTAGAATTTTGTAGTTGCTTTTTCAAGAATAAAACATTTTCTATTGTTTTGAAACATAAGTTATTTGGAACTATTCTTGTACATTTATTTTGAGAATTAAATGTAAGCTGATATTCATAACATAGTAGCATACGGAATGTTTCTAACTTTGTTACATCTAAACTGTTTTTTATTATCTCTGCTCCATAATGTTGAATTAAACGGTGTAGCAATGGAAATGGATTATCTTTAAATGCTGTTTCTAACAATTCCAAGATTGATAAATCTGTTGTCGGAATATGGACATACCGGTCGTGTAAATCCATTTTAATGCAATACACTCGGTAAAGTCACAGATAGAGGTACTCTCTAGGTGCTCTCTCAAACTATGCCAGATCACGCGTACGTGAGCTCGTGGAGTTTCGGAAAGTCGACAAAGGCAAACTGACGCATGCCCTCTTTCTCGATTCTCCGAAGCTGCCCGAACTAATTTCGGACTGCCTCGTGAGAGTCGAGAGAGAAAGGCTCACAACGGCACACAATTTGAATTCTCGAGCCGAGACTGAACACTTAGACTGAATAAATATTACGACGCTGTACTCTAGTCGGTAGCCAAATTACCAATAATGTTTGAAGATACAGATAAGCGTACAATGTGATTGAATGTTTGTTTATCTTTTGTGACCCGTGTCACGTAATACACACACGTGATACAAAAGTATTCGAAAAATACTCTGAGACAATTTATTTTCTATTGCAGTTGACTTTGGGGGACCTTGAATGACCTTCATAATAGGTCATTGTATTCACCTTGGAACACTCTATCAGAATGTAAGTAAAAAAATATACTGTTCCATTTAAAAAAACAGAGTTCACCTTCATATCTCCTTGACGCCTCCATCTACAGAAAAATTGGTAATACCAGATTATGAGCCCTCCGATACCAAGTAAGTTTGGTCTAATTCATTTTCTTCTATCTTCAAAAACAAGCGAGTTATTCAGGTTATGCCCTTCCTTGTCTTACAATTGAAAAGACATAGAAACGCCGATCTTGTCTGTCTTCGTTGTTTTCAATTGCAAGACAAGGAAGAACATAGAAATGCACGTCGTGCCGCTTCGATGCTCGTGTGACCCCAGCCTAAGACCGCAGCGCAAGCAAACTGAACGGTAGGAATTATAACTGATTGTAGCGCATATCAATTATTTTAAACATAATTACAAGTGACTACAATCAGGATCGACGTGTGACGTGGATATGTATATGAACCACGAACAGAGGATATAGCAAGGAACAAGGTTTATTAACCCCTTGCCTTACAATTTAATTTCCAACTGTATGTGCCAAAAACGACACCAAAGTTTGGCTCGGTAGACTTATCACGTCTCTGAGACTTCATTGTAAGCTAAGGGGCTAAAAATGATATGTGTCACGAATACATACTCTTTGATTAACTCTAGTTCTTGTTAGCGTCACAGCTGATTTTAGTATTAGCCATGCGAAACGAGAAACAACGTGAGAGTCTGATTTTTTCATTTAATAAAAAGAGCATTTTTATCTATCCAGTGCAAAATTTGACTCTTGCAGCTTCATTGTCTCTCGGTCTGTATAGCTTGTACTAGATTTGACCTGTGATTTGACTGCGATTGTACCTCAATTACGATTGAATACGGACGCTTGCGCTTTTAACATGTAGCAGATGCTGCCACCATGTGTCGTAACTCTTAAATAGAAGTTGCAACCGCTATTCACCGCTTTTCAAACGTGCCCGAGAGCGCATATCGATTCTAGCGTGGTAAAGTAATCGTCGGTTTTGCACCAGCGTCCTGTTAGTAACGTCTTTTCGTATAAAACAACCAGTTATTTGTAACAGTTAATATGGAATCTGCTATTGTGCATCTTGAACAAAGTGTAAGTGTATTTCTTAACAATTTTTAAATTGTACGTTTTAAATGTCATTCGTACTTTACGTCGATTAGATTTCGAATTTGATCAACTTGAAAATGTCAAATGTTAAATTGTCATTCTCTTGCTATTATTTATTTGATGATTATGTAAACTTTTTGTCATGACAGGTTCAAAAGGCTGACGGGAAACTAGATATGATTGCGTGGCAAATTGACGCCTTTGAGAAAGAATTTGAAAATCCGGACAGTGAGGTATGTTTTGATTTAAACTGTTCGGAAATGAAACGCAACTTAAATTTTTCTCGTGCTTCGTGTTTTAGAATAAGTTTAAAAAAACGAATTCATAGTCAGTAGGTATAACTATGTTTCCTACTGTTGACTCTCAAGTTAACGAAAACAAAGTATAATGTAACTGATTCTTTTGCCAGTCACTAAGATCAACATTTAAATTGCCATTTTTAAGTTGCTGTTTGTTTTGTGCTTTTTAACAGATCTCTGTGCTTCGTCTATTACGGTCTGTTCATCAAGTTACAAAAGATTATGAAAACCTTCATCGAGAAATATTGGAAGTTCAACAGTTACAAAAACAACTTTCAGATTCTCTTAAAGCGCAATTGTCTCAAGTTGTTGGGCATTTTAATTTGCTACGTAATAAGATTGTAGGACAACATAAAAATCCACAATTAAAATAAGATTGGAACATTTAGTAATATTTTCTTTTTACTAATTTTTCAAATTCATTTCATTTGCTTGTATAAATTCTATTCAAATCTTTAAAAATATATGCAACGCTTTAAAGAAAATTTCCAATAATATCAATAATTAATACAATAGTTCACTACAACTTACGTAACAGGTTCATTTTTTGTACTATTTTGCTATAGAAGAATCAACAGTATATGACATTATTATCGGTAAAAGAAGAAATAAGTTGCTTTATTAATGAAATTAATAACTATTTAACTTTTAATTTAAGTTTATTTGAAATTAATACTTACGTATATATAGCATATTAGTAATAATTTTATTCATACTGTATTAGCATTTATTTATTAGAATTTCACAAAGCAATTATGATACATGCAATATTTTGATTTATTTTTTACTACAATAATAATTATAACAAGCTATTTATTTAAAATGGATAAAAGAAATATATGTTACAAAATTCATTTGCAACTTATACGATTTCTTGCCATTTAAAGACAGCTAATGTTACTATATTTTCCAGTGACCATTCACACATGGCCATATACATCTAAAAATTATTAAGTTGCAAAATATATTGAAGCAATTGTCCAAATTATTTTGATATCTTTATACCTAGTAGTTGATAGGTATTAGTCGTGCAAAAATATTGTTCCCACGATCAATCTATTATTGCTATAGTGATTTATTTGTAGGTCTTATTGCTTGTTTTAAATAGTATGGGATCAACAGGTATCGTCGACAAATAATTTATTTAACTTCCTCTGTGAGTGTGATATTGGGGCCAATCTATATGCTTGTATGTCCACACAGAATAGGAGAACCAGTAAGATTAAAAAACGTTACTTTTTATTTTATGCAAAGATACTTTATACACATTTTGATGCATCAATTTTTAATTGATATCAAGTTTTCATACCAAATGTATCATTTAGAATCATTATATTCTATAGAGTTTATTAGGAAATTATCGTATTTTAAAATAATTTTAATATTCGAATAATCCCTGCACAATATGTAGTATTTTATTGAATTGATAGAAAGTCTCTTGATACTTTGGATAAGATTATTTTAAGACTTCCTTTTGTATTTAAATATGTTTTATGACTCGATTTACATAGAATATATAATTATAATGCCAAATATAATATAATAATTTGTTTCTATCTATTACATACTGTAGTATTTGAGAGCTGAACATATGTATATGTATAATACTTATATACTGGGTGACAGCATGATAATATCTATATTTCAAACAAAATTTAAATTAAATTTTATTGTAACAATCTTCAAAATGAACATATAATATATAATTTCTACAAATGTCTTTGATAATCTATTAGCAATCTTTTCATTGTATATTTTATGCAAACAAATTATACTAATTAATTGAAAAGATCTCAATAATACATACTTTTACTCTTGGATAAAAAGACAGAATACAAGCGTGTTTCTGGTAGCATTTAATTGCATCAAAGACTCTTTACATAGCAAGTAATAGTATTCACCCTGTATGTAGTTACAGTATTTTACTTTAGTACAATACTATTTCTTTTCCAATAATGATTCTAATATTTCTTGCATTGAATGCATCATGTATACTTAAATATGTAAAAATTGAAAATAATTATTTGTAATCAAAAAATTAATTTTTCGAATTGTAATGTTAAAAAAGAAAATCTTTTATGTGTACAGAAATGATATTCGTTATGATTTGTAAAATTTTGTTTAAAATAGATTACATTTAGTGTATGTATGTACATGTATAGCATAGTAGATATGGCGAGTGTATTTTACAACACGAGGGTGATGAAAAAATGTGCAAAGCCAAGGGCGTGCATACATTAGGATATGGAGAATAATATTGCCTTAAGATACAGGTGTGCGTTCAACGAGCTGCGTGATCTATGTTGAAGTTAAGTGCACACTATTATGATACGTGTAAGTCACAAGTCTGTTGTTTAATAATATAAAGAGTAATGTATTTCCAATAATATTATTCGATTAACTATGTGCGTTTTAAGAAAAATGCTTTTATTCGATTCATTTAGGACGAAGGAAATAATCGTTGCCTTCTAAGTAATTCAGAATTAGCGTGTGTGAAATTAAATGTTTGGTTCTATTGTGAGCTGGTTTTAGAACATGTATTCAGATATAAAATAATTCTCAATTCGAAATCGAAGCAGGATTTATATATAAGAAACGAAAATCAAAATCTTCTTTAAAGAATGTTTATACAAGATTTACGTGGAATATTTTTTCTTAGCATTATTCTTCCATTCGTCGCTTGTTTATTTCTTTTTTAGCGCTTAAATAAGAATAGAATAATACATGTGTGTTCGCGTGACATTTTCTTGAATGGAGTAACTGAGTTTCATAATTGTGGAACTGTTAGCTATCCTCTTCGAACTTAAAAATCGATTACCTATTAAACGTAGCCACTCTGTAAGAAACTCCTCTAAGTCAATACTAATAATTCAGAAAAGAAAATATTTGTGATACTCAGTGACTCGTACGTTTATCAGAGCTAATTTATATTTCAGTTAACCAGCCGTGCGTCTCATTAGCACCAAACAAAAGGAACTTAGTCGTTATCGCAAAGCGTGTTAACTGAAAATATAAATAAACTCTTAGATCAATCAACCTCTAGCCTTTACCTAAGCAATTAGATCTGGTCTATACAAAACTATTTAATACATATGTACGTATATGTTTTGTAGCGATATCTGTCACAGCCGCGTAAGTTTTATTTTAATTGCAAGTATGAGGGCTTTGACGAAGATGAACATGTTATTAAAGTTAATGATTCGATTTTCTGAGATTGTGTAAAAGTAGAGCAATGCATCTTCCTCTATTAAACTCACTTTCTTCCTGTGCAAAATGTGTATTCATTTGTAACAGTACAGTATTAGAAACAATGCTTAAACAAAGTTAAATCTTTATATTGAAAGCTTGTGGTGCTTGAACTATACAAACTCTGCAAACTTCTTTTTTACGAAGATGAATAGGTTTATTTGTTTAAGTACATATTCTGCAAGGGAAGACTGAAGGAATAAGGTGACTTTTCTTATAGGATGATGTGTTGATATTTGGATCTTGAAAAGAATTTGGAACTTCAAGTTTGTATGTTCATCCCGTTAAAGAATAGCGAACAAACGAGTATTTATAAAAATGTAATGGCATGTTGCTTGTACAATTTATAAAATGTTACTTTTTAAACATGCGTGACTGTGATTAGATGATCGGCAGTTTAGTGCTCGTTAAAACTGTTTTTAGAATAGACGTAGGAGGTAAGTCAAGAGAAAAATGGTCTGGAACACATTCAAAACGTGCCAAAAAACATTGGTCAATTAATATAATGTACCGTTTAGTTTGTCGAACACAGATTTTTGAACATCCGTTTTTCTGTATAATCTACATATCACGTTTTCACATTTTTCGAAAGTCTATTTCACTTTTTACGCGTGATATTTCTAAAAGTACTCGTTAATCCTGAGTTTAAAATTAAAACAAATGTTGTCACTTGTGCAAGGAGTTTTTTATTAAAAACGTAACACCGTCGTTACCTTTAGATATATAGTATTTTTTTATTATTCTTAATGTAAGTCTTCAGTCTGTTAATAGAATTATTCTATTATAAGTCATAAATTAGAAATATATTTATTTTGACAATATTTAATATATGTCACAGAAAAGTAAATTAGATTTTGCCTTGATAATATCTGTACCTAATACCTGTTTTCTAATCTCTATTATTTCTACGATTGTGATTCATAAGTACACGGAAAAATTAAATTTGAGTACAACGAGCTTTGTTTTTAATCGAAGTCCTTGCACATTTACGTGTTTCTACAACTGTTAACAAATAAAACTTTGATGCATGTTGCACGCTTAGATAAAACAATACGCATAACTTATCGATCATTACGTTGTACAATTTTCATTCCAGTCTGGATTATTAAATATATTATTAATGTGACATTTTCTTTTTAATTTTAAGTCGTTTACTTGCTAATATTTGTAAATAAATTCTTTCATATTTTTAAAGCACGTTCATTAAAATTTTCAGACTGGAATTACGCAATACAATGTTCGAATCGAGTGTTGAAAATTTATTAACCGTTTAACCATTGTATTATACACGATTGCTCAAATACTTCGATGTATATTATACAAAAATTACGACACAAGAAAATTGTATCTTTTTAGATATTTATCACACTATTATGTAATAAATTGTTAACTCTGTAGCAAATCACTAATGAGAAGTTTTTTCCGTCCCCGATCATTCGTTCTACTTGTAATAATAACGCAATTTTTTGCATTTGGCACAAATTAGAAACTAGAATTTAAAAACATATCGTTAACAATAAAAATGATTCTTCGTTAAAAAAAAATCTTATTTAATGCATATTCAAATCACGTTAATGCGTTATTTAACAAATTTATATGTTGTAAAATCGTTGACAATGAAAAAAACCTTAATATTTGTAAAATTGTAAATAACTCTACTGTTATTGGGAATGCTATAAAACAACAGGTACACCATTTAATTATCGAATATTTCTATTTTCTTCGCTACAGATATCGAGACTACAGTATCGACTATATCGACACGTTAATAACGTATAAATGTTTCAATTAATACTAAAACTACCGATAATTATGGTGTATTTATTTGTACCAAAGAAATTAAAACGATAGATACCTGAAGAAATGTCTAACGCAATGAAAATAAATGTTTATTTATTCTTTTATAGAAAACTACGGTAAATTTTCAAAAATTCAGCCGAGTATTAACTTTACAATTTTTATTCGAAATTACGAATCGAAAATTTCGACCACTTCGATAGTCCTAGTGTTAATAAATTTATAAAAATATTCTTTCGTTGAAGTAATCATTATCTTTGATTGAAATAGTATAAAAGTGACGCGTAGGAAAGTATTTCTATCTGTTTATTGTATTCGTGACCAAAATTCGATGCAGAAAATGAAATTTTTCCTCCGATCTAGCGAATAAGTAATAGAACGGAAAATGCGGAATATTCCGAGGCCCGTGATCAAAGTGTTATA